TCCCAGGTCATCCCTACCTACAGCAGCAGGAATGGAGATGGCAATCAGAGAATGTGTGTCTTATCACTAGGCTGAGTGGATTGGATGTTGAGTGGATTTTCCTGGAGAGGAGTGGTGCCAAGGTCTCCACTACTGCTGCATGATTCTGTACAGATTCCAATGTCTCCACTTCCTACACATAAATGGGAAGCTCAAATAATGTTTTGCCAGCCAAATCCAGCTACAGTGGTTGTTGTGGCCTTTCCAAGGCAGGAGCAGGAGCAGAGCCTCCATCAAGTATGCCAGGAACAGGAAGAAAGGTGTCAAATGACCTCGGAAAGGAAATGTCAAATTACCAAGGAAAACAAAACACTGATTTTTTTTTTTTTATTATTTTATTTCAACATTGGGAAAGAAACTGCACAAAAAGAAAAAAAAACCTAAACACAGCCTAAGAGTATGCCAGAGACCAAATCCTGTTTTTACCTGAGGTCAGTGAAGGAACCTTCAGCTGTGGGTATGGAGTGAATGGCTCAGTAATTCCCCTCTAAATGCTATTTTGGGCTACAGGCCTACCCCTAGTATATGAGCTGGGAGGAGGAAAACATGTCTTCCCACCAAAAGCTGCCTTTAATGTGTTAGTATCTGTATTTCCACCAGTCCTAAGTTCTCATGAGGTTTTCTCAACTGTACTCTGGTTTTGATTTCCACTGTATCTCTGTTAGTGGCTTAAACTGTGGATATATTGCACAGTCTTTTCTGAACACTGCTGCTCTACTACCTGCTGCTGTACTGTCAAACTCACAGGGGATAACGTGTCATCTTTTCCCTTCCTAATCAGCTGGATGTCATTCAGAAAGCTGGGACAAGGAGAATTTTCCCCCCAGACACCAGCTTTCCTTGGTAGCAGACAAACCTCAAGCCTTATAATACTACTTGTACATAGCACTTATATAGCTTTACATCCTCAAAGTGCTGTACTAGCATTAAGTAATTATCTCTCTCCCTAATGGCCATTAACATTGGCCTTTCATGAACCTCCCCCAGCTCCCTGAGGTTCATATCTAATACAGCACTAAGCTGCTCAGAGGGAGTGACTGGCTGTCTTGCAAGTCTATGGGCTTGGGTATGTAATGAGCCTTCAGAGCAGAGGCCAGATGCCTTCTGGAGTATCAGAAACATGTGACTGTAGACCAGGTCATGCAGTTGGGAGCATCCATCAGAAAGGGATGGAAATGAGTAGGTGATAATGTGATCTTGAAATGGAGAGAGAAGAAAACTTTGACCACTCAGAGGATGTGCACTGATTACTCTATTTATTACCAGGATAGCAGTGTGAACAGAGAGAGCAAAGCAGTGGGAATAGCATGTCAGCGTGGGCATGGGGAGCTGATCTAGGGAGAGGAAGTTAGAGAGCTAAAAATGTCAAGCAAAGCTAGACAACCATGGCAATGGGATAAAGAGGCCAGTCTGCAGGTCTATGAAGCATTAAAATAACAGGGAGAAAGGGCGAGCTTGGCAGCATCCTTGGATTTTAAGAGAGGAACAGAAGAGGATTTACTTGTCTTATTTGCTTTCAAGCAAAGCCCTCTTCCAGGCTGTGGAGTGTCTCCAGGGAAGATGTTGCAATGCCACTGTTTCAGAACATTTTACCCTTAAGGACCTTCCAAAGATGAGCCTGTGTGATGGCTGGGCTCCCCCATCCCTCTCTGGGATCCCAGAGAAATAGAGAAGGTGGGGTGGGAAGATGACGTAGCTGTTTTAGAGAAGTCTCAGAAGTAGCATATTCCTAACAAACATCAGTCCTGCATGGTCACTAATTTCTGAAACCTGCCAGGCCCAGCTCTGAGAAAGCAGAGGTTTGGCTAAAACAAACTTTCACCGTCTCCCTAAAGACATGATAATTATTCTTTCCAGAGCCAAGGACATGCCCTATAAACTGGCTTGGCAAAATAAGAAAAGAGTATCCTTTTTTTTCAGCCTGATTTAATAGCATCATTTTGCTTTTATGCTTCTGGCAATGGCTGGTCCTGTAAAACAAGTATGTAGCTGTGGGAATCACGTGCAAGTCTACAGTGGCAAAACACAGCTCACAGCCACTACATGCTATGCAAAGGATTTCTGTCACCTTGGACACACTCTGCTTCCTGTGGCATCGGTAGCACAATCCCTCTGTGCTCAACTCTAAATCATTTTGCTACATCAGCAAATAACAGGATATGGCTGACTGCGGACCGGGAAGAGTTGACTTGGCATTCACTTTCTACACAGCTTCAGAGCAGGGCCTTTCCTTGCCTTCCTGCATCTGCTTTCTCATCTGTGAAATGGGAATTTTAATCCTAATCAGTTTGCAAGGGAAGCAGTAAAGGATAGGCAGAGGCGATTCTTTAAAAGGTAATAGTCGGCCTTATGTGCTAGGCTAGACATTGGAGTGGTTTTATAGTAGAGTTTAATTGATGCCTGTTCTGCTTATAGGTAGTAAGTGCAAGGCTTAACATTTGCTCTCAAAAATGTGGCTCCCTCTTTGAGATGAAAAGGATACCTCTGCAAGGAACCCCTTATCACTGAGCACAGTTGGGCCACGTTTTTGGGATCCACACATTTCTGGGCGTTGCTCACTTGTTCAGGTTTTTTTCCCCCAAATTAATTTAATTGTTCATTATTACCCGATTAATTTTTAGTAAAAGCTATGTCTCATGTGACATACATGGTTGGTAGGAATGCTTTGGCAGTCCCTGGACTCTACTATACGAACTAAGCCAAGGTTGTGTTGTCACATCCTTGGGAAAACTGTTGACTGTCTATGTCACTTTGTTGGCAGTTCTCCATCAGGATGTGTCTAGAGCAGACCAAAGACCTCAACTTTATTTTAGTTTACTAGAACGGAGATGGGACTACTGGCTTCTCTGCAATGCTTTCAGGGCCAGATCCTCAGGTGGTGTAAATCAGGGCCCTCCCATTTGAGCAGTACTGCTGCAACACTGTGTAAGCTGAGGACCTGTTTTATACATTCTGAACTTGTTCAAATGGGAGCTAACTGTGCTCACTGCTTTGTGTTACCTGTAATCACAAATGATCCTGCAAGATTCAGGATATTGCAGATGTAGAGAGCTTTGCAGTAAGTAATCATTTTGAGATTGCTGGAAAACTGAGGAGTTAGTGCTACTTAAAGAAGAATAAAATAAGCATTAGCACAAAACAATTTTTACCACAATCAAGTTTGATGTATGTCCTGTTCTGCTGATAATGTTTCCTCAGAGCCCTTCACAAGAAGGGAAAGCAACTTGTAAAAACTGGGAATGCAGGAAAGAGCTGAAATTGCAGCCAGGGTTTCAAAGGAGCAAACAAGGAAAAGCATATTTCCATTTCCATTACTTTGAAACATTCTTGGGAGTTCAGAGCAGCAAACTGAGAACACACTAGCCCAGCCATCTCTGAAACAGGGGGTGTAGAGCTGCAATGAGCTTCTTATCTTCATGCATCTGCATTTAGGAAGAAAGATCTTCCTGAGACTTTTCAAACTCCTTTTCTTTTTTGAGGAGGGTCTATTTCAGAGTAAGGAAAAAGGATGGTCTTCAGCCCTCTGAGTACAACGTTGCAAACCTGAGCCTAAATTCTGTCAAACCCCAGAGAATTCTGAGCCCCTCCGTGCAGAAAGCCAGCTAAGCATCCTACCACTTTCACACTCTATTCCAACACACCCCCCTCTTGCTTCCAGGCAGTGCAGTGTCTCTGTACTGACCCTTCCCCACACTAGTTCTCCTTTAATCAGTCAAAGAAACCTGTGCAAAAACTAGCAGCTCACAGGAGAGCTCTTGTTTGTACAAGAAATGTTTTCATCTGAGCGAGCACAACAGTCTCATTATTTTGAATAGCCACACATATCCTAGATGGCAGATACCTTCTTCCCTCATCCTCCATAGGACCAGAGAGATTTCTGCCTGTTAGATTCAGCTGCTGTGCTACAAAGTTATTAGCACTTGCTTTTTTGGTGTCTGTAATAAGATAAGCAGTCCTCCAAGCAGCGCCACAGAAGCGCTTTTTCTCATCACCACTAAAACCTCGGACACTTTACCCTCAGCAAAAATGAGTGCTGGAGACCTGCAGCCCTGCTGCTTGCAGCACCGTCTGGTTGTAGCAATTAGCTGTTTCCCCACAGATGGAGCTGCTTAACAGAAGGACAGAACAGAGAAAAACTTGTCCTGCTCAGAGGCGCTTGTTTAGGAATCTCTAGTGAATCTGCAGGTAAATCCATCTACTCTAGAACTGTTTGCATGTGTCCTGCAAGCCTCCTGTGCACCTGCTGGATTCATGTGCCGTACAGAAGGGTTGAACCTTACTTGTGAAAGTGCCTTTCTCTGGCTTTTCCCACTTTTTTACACCCATGGGCTCTTCCATTTCCAAACTCTCCAAAGGGGCCGGATTTCCCTCCTCCATTAGACACTGGGCGTATCCCAGCCTGTTAGAGCCTGTTTTTACCAACAGGCTGCCTTTTGGAAGTTTGGTCCTTCAGTCATTTACATACTCAAAGCACTCTTTGAAAAGGCCTGTAGCACAGTCTTATGAGCACAAAACCTTTCATGCAATTAGGTGATGCACAGATGGCTGTGCAAGGGGTTTAGAGAACCTTTCTGAAGAGGGACAGACCTCACTCTGTGTTTCTGGTGGGTGCCTCGGAGCACTGAGGCCCTGCAGTGCTTTGCTGGACACTGTTTCTTGCTTTGTGCCTGGGTTGACCAGACTGTAGGGCTGGAGTATGTTCTTGTGCATTTTGCATTCGACTTCTTTACAAGCCCATTTGGGGCGGAGAGGACGTCATTTATCTTGATACTTTCCACTCTCTATTTGTCTTGTTAACCAGGTGGGATTGGTGGGTAAGCCCTTGAGTAGTTGAGGAGGCAGTAGCCGGCCCAGCTTTTTGGAACAGCTCAGGTCCTGAGTTGGTCCACATCATGTCAGGGCTGACCCCTTCCTCAGGACTCCCATGACTCAGATTTCCTTGTGCCTTTGCCCTCACCCAGGTTGGAGGACACACCATGCTGCCTATCCGCTGGATGCCTCCAGAGAGCATCATGTACAGGAAGTTCACAACCGAGAGTGACGTCTGGAGCTTCGGGGTGATCCTCTGGGAGATCTTCACATATGGGAAGCAGCCCTGGTTCCAGCTCTCAAACACAGAGGTACAACAGTGCTGAGACACCTCAGCTGAAAACTACTTTTTGCCAGCTCTTCTTTCCAGGTTGTTTGCAAAGCAGTTTGTACATGAGTGGTCCCCTCTTTGGCACTCCCATGGTGAAGACATAGGATAAGTGTCATTATCTCCATTTAAAAGCTCAGGGGAAACTGAGGCATGCAGGAATCAAAGGGCTCTGCAAAAGTCATGTACTGGCTCATCCTCAGCCTCTCCCTTCTAAGTTGCTGACATACCTCTATCATATCTGATAAACTCTCAGCGTGCTACCAGAACTGGGGATACCCAGTTTACTTCTGGGATCTAAGTTACTGTCATGCCCTGAATTTCCTCTGCTTTCTCCTTTTGTGTGTGAGTCCCCAGTTTGTGAGAAATTGTTTTAAGGCTGTTATATTGCATGTTGCACATTTGCTTGGGGCTTTTTGCCATCGGGATATTGCTTATATGGTTTGCCCCAGTTCATTGAGGGTGGAACCCAAGGAGCTGGTTTGTCCTTGTTATTTCTTTGACTAGCAAAAGTGGCAGCCCAGTAGTATAGGGATGCACTGTGAAAACGTTGAGGGAAGGCTGGCTGGGATTAGCGGGGTGTCAGCGCTGAGGTTTGAGGCACATCAGCAGAAATGCGTTGGAAGATTTTCGCTCAGAATAGCAGGGGGTATTATAGAAGAGGAAAAAGATGCATTGACATAGCAGTGTGTGGGAACCTTGCACATTTTTATCCTACTGTGTATCTAATGGATTTCAGAAATTTCACCTTTTGTAATGAGAAACGTGCATTTTCTGCTTTCTGGATACAGATCCCTTAATTAAGTGAGTTGCAGAGATGGCAAATCCAAGGTGTTGCTTTACAGCTCTAATACTTGCCCATTCGTGTGCTCAATGGGGCCTGACTGTATATCCCAAAGTAGCACACGCAAACATTTTAGAGACACAAACAATGGAATCGACAGCGACAGAAGTTATTTGTCACGCTATTTAATGAGCTGCTCTTGCATTTCCCTGTGAGGGTAAATACAAACACACACAAATGAGCACATGTAGCTCGTACATGGGCGACAGGCACGCTGGAATGTGACAGCTCCGCTGTGCCTGTGCCTTCTGCCTCAGTTTCCTCTGCAGGGCAGTAGAACTGAGAATAACCAGCCTTAACCTTGAGGGGAGGGCTGGTGAACATCTGCACAGATGTGGCTGTATTGGTTTGCTACCATCCCTGGGATAAAATCTCACCCTTCTCTTTCCTATTGCTGTGTCTCCTTCTTTCTGATTGCTGCGGACTCCCACCCCAGACCACACTATCCTGTTGGGAGGAAGCCACATTAGCTTGTTTTTCATCTGGCTTGTTTTTCACCATTTTTGGAGTAATGGGCAGACTGACACCTCCACCAGCTCCTGGATGATGTGGCATCAGAGCAAGTCTCTGTGGCAGTCCAGCTGCAGTGGCAGAGCCCCACGGAGAGGCAGGTTAATGAGCCTGTGCCAAGGTCCCAGTTGCCAGGACTGGACCATGAACAGGCACTGATACCCACTCCCTCCTGTGCCATCTGCATGGCCTCACATCCCCAGAACATTTTCAGCAGTTTTTTTCAAGGCTAGAAGAGACCCTGCCTGAGCAGAGGGACAAGGCAGGGCACAACTCAGCCAGCCCATTAACTTCTGTCAATGCCTTTCCTTTGCCCTGGAGAGAAAGAACCCACCACAGGGCTCCTGTGCATGTCCAGGATGTCCTGTCAGAAACCATAACTCGCCTCCTCCCCCAAGTCCTCAGCCAGCAGCTCTATGGCAATTCAGGCTTCTCTGCATGCTGTGTCTTACTTGCTTCCTTTCAGCAGGTCCTAATCTCTCCCCTCTGTATTTATATGCAAACAGCGAAGAGATAAGTATCCCTTGAGCTCTGTGGAGGGACCATTGCTGTTCATAAATGATAAATCCCAAACACCCCTTGCTGGGTGGCTTCCTTCAACACACTGCTTGGGACTGGTGTTTATCTGCAGAGTGTGGCAGGTCACTCACACACTGCAATGCTGGGACTCATCAACCCCAACCAAGGAGGCCAGATGGTAATAGCAGCTCTCTGACAAATCACCCCTTCCCTTTGCATGCATCCTGTAAACAAAACACAAACAGACACTTAGGGGAGTCCTTTCCAATGGTATCCTTCTAGAGAGAATTCCAAGAGCTCACATTTTTCTCATTAGTAGCACTGGCCTGACACAAAACAGAGTGATAGCACTTCAATTTTTTTTTCTCCATCACAGATGTGATTTGACATGAAATTTTATACTTTTAGTTGCTTTTCTATGTAAAACTGAGGCAAAGCTGCCCTTGGAGAAGTATGTAGGAAAAGATGCTCTGAACCCTTCCTTGTAAAACTCTCCTGGGCTTTGCAAGGGAAAGGACTCTTGGTTTTCAGGCAAGAAAAATATAATTTCAGCTGTGCAAAATATTACTTTACTTTGGGGATTTTAAGACTTTTTTTCCTTCTTCATTTAGCAGGAAAAACTGACATCATAAGTTAAAATTCCATTTCATTTGCTTGTGAACTCCTGTTTGGAGAGTGCATTGAGGTAGGTAGATGTCAAATGGGGAAGGTTTTAGAGATCTGAAAAACTCCAGCTGGAGACAAACTTTTCACTGTAAAATTATAATTAACAACACACAAATAGGTGAGCATTGAGGATCTGCAGACCTCTTGCCTTCTCAGTGCACCCATTCACTACATGGTACCACATCAGCCAAGCAGTAGCTGGGACAGAAGATCCTTCAGTGTTCAATGTCTATTTTTTTCAATGTCTAATTTTTTTTTTTTTTTTTTTTTTTTAGGTAATCGAGTGCATTACCCAGGGCCGAGTTTTGGAAAGGCCTCGAGTCTGCCCCAAGGAGGTTTACGACATCATGTTGGGCTGCTGGCAGAGAGAACCTCAGCAACGGCTCAACATCAAGGAGATCTACAAGATCCTTCATGCTCTGGGCAAGGCCACACCAATCTACCTGGACATCCTTGGCTAGCAGTGGCCACTTGTTGGAAGTCCCTGCTCCTTCCTTCCATCCTTCCTTCCCTCTCCCCCTCCCAGGTCCTTTGCCCCTCAGCTCCCAAGCAAACATCTTCATATAAACTCAAGTGCCTGCTACACATACAACACTGAAAAAAAACACAACAAAAAAAGCAAAACAAAAAGCAAACCAACAAAAATCCTGGAGAACAACAACCTGTAAAGCAGTTTGGCTTATATATATTTATAGATATCTCTCTATATATAACTTCCACACCAATACAGAAAGAAGCTGCTGTTACAGAAAATTGTAAGACTATAGGAAAAAAAAAAAAAGAAACAAAAAAGGGAGAAAAAGTACTTAAAAACATATATATAATTAAAAAAAAAAAAAAAAGAAAGAAAGGAGAAGATATCTTTCCCCCGAGCAATGAAGCAGTGAATTGTAACCCTGCTGTGAGTATGGTTCGGGCTGCTGGGCAGGGCTCTAGACTGGCTATGGCAGCAATGCCGTCCTGGGTAGGAGCCCCAGGAAGAAGGCCTTGCCCTGGTTGTATGATATGCACTGAATGTGTGAAATCAGTCCTCCCTTTTCGTCCTTGCCTCCCTCCCTCCTTTCCAGCCCGCAGGTGATGGGCGCAAAGCCAGGGCAGTGCCCCTGGATGAACTCTCTTTTACCAACCCCTTCCCTCCCTTTCTCTCAGGCCCTCCCCATCCCTCTTTGCCTTCCTGCCTTTTTCCTCCCTCCAACATTTCAGGACAATTTTTCTAATTTGCTGATTCTTAAATGTATAGACTCAAGGCTTTCGAACACACAGTCAAAGGATTGTGGCACCTACGGGTAAAACACACACCGGGAACCAGCTGCCCTCCCGCAGACTGCAAGTTTGCCTGGCCCAGCCCTCCCTCTGCCCTGTGCCAGCTGCTGCCAGTGCTGGGAGAGCAGCGGGACCAAAGCGGCTGCGCACGGGAGTTGGGGGCGGGGGGGGTGGTTCTGGAGACCCGGTCCTGAATCATCCCCAACCCATTTCAGCCTGTGAGACAGGAGTACTGTTTGCCCAGGGCATCCAGCGCAGGCAGCCACTCTGGGGTTGTTCCTCGCTCCTCCCCACCCTTCATGGTTGCTAGCGACCATGAGGTTGTTCCCCCTCCCTCAGCTGTCTGCACCAGGGCCGAATTGGTCCCTTTAGCGAGCAGAGTTGGATCCCTGCTCGCCTTATGGGGGAAAGGCTACAGGGTGCAGACAGCTGGGAACATGCCTGCAACCCAGCTGGGCATGTCTGTAGGGTCAGCATATCCCAGTGCTCTTCCTCCCTATCCTCTTCCCTTCCCTGTTCCTGCCCCATGCCTCAGTCCCAGCCTCAGGCACAAGCCAGCGGGGGGACAGGGAGGGGGACACAGCTTGTGAGATGGCTGGGAACCTACCAACACCTGCCTGCAGCTCCCTTGCCATTCTCCTCACGTCCCCATCCCCTGAAAGGATTGATGCATCTGCCTTTGAGCTGTTGTGAAATGCAGAGGCTGAAGAATAGCTCCACAGGCAGCCCCGGGAGGAGGGGGGAAGGAGGGGAAGGTGCCTTCAGGAGCAGACGGCTCAGCGGATGGCCGCAGCGGCCAGCCTTGCATCTCAATGAGGAGAATGGCCTGACAGGCAGCAACAGGGGGTGGTGGGTACAGCGAGGGAGAATCAGCAGCATCCTCCCTACGGCTCATCTCCCTGGAGCAGGAAACGATCCCAACCTGGGGAAACACTGAGTCAGACGTTGAATCCTGCCTGTCCAGACTGGGCTGAGAATATAAAACCTTTCTGGGTCTTTTTTTCAAGTGGCTGATGGAGGATGAGGGGGAACCTCAGCTTGGCAGCTGCTCTCAGGAGGCAGGGACCAGTGGCACAGGCATTGTCAAGGCAATTTTGAGAAGGTAATAACTGCCAGCACAAAAATAGCCTGCTTGAATGTGGCACTTTCCTGGAAGGGAATGCAGATGGGGAAGACGAGACAGAGAAGGGATCTTGGCTCCTTCCTCAAGGCCAGAGTAGTATTCATGGCCAGGATGCAGGGGGAGATAGGTGACTCTTCTTATGGCTTGCATTGGAAGGGAAGACTTCCATCTTTTCCTCATTGCCCATGTTTCCTGACAGTCTGTAACTCTCACCCATGGCTCTTGCATGACCTGACTTAGGGTTTCAGGCAGATGCAGGGGACATTGCTACAAGGAGGATTACGGTGCCAGTAGTGGCCAAGGGTTTATTCTGTGCTTATGTAATGAGCAGTGCAAGCCTGGAGCGGGATATGATGGGTGGCAGTAACCATGTGGGAGCAAGGACATAACCTTCCTCTGCATGGTAGAGAGATCTGGGCTAGTGGGACAGACTCATGCCAACGGAGGCTGGACAGACTGCCACTAAACAGGCACCAGCTGCTCCACAGCATGGACAGCAATGATGGCATGGTCGTGGACAAGGGTGTGGACCAGCACACGGAGTCCACACACAGGAACAGCGTACCATGCCATCCCTCCACAGCAGGATCTCGCTCCTGTGGGAGAGGACATCCAGTTTTCCTCACCTGCCTACGTAGGTCTAACCTTGAAAGTGAAAAAGATTGGTTGAAAATTTGCCTGCCCTGGCCTGGCCCCCTTTGTGTGCAGGCTGCTTTGGCTAAAAGGAATTGAGATTCTGCATAGGGGAAGAACAAGCAGTGGCTGTGAGTTGCCCAGCATCTCCAAAAGAAAACCCTTTCCTGGGGCTGCCTGTCTCTTACTCCAGGTGGCTTTTGGCTCTTGTGGCTCCCAGGCACTGCGTCAGATTGTGCAAGGCCACAATTTTGTCCACCCCTCTCTCTTGCTGTCATGCTCTCATTTCTTTTTTGGCCAGTGTCACAGGCTTTTACACTATCAAATCACCTACAGACACTCTGTTCCCAGTGGATGAGATTCCCTTGTCACCATTCTGCAGAGCAACTACATGCTCCCTGCCTTCCCTCTTTCATCCTTCCCCTGCTCCCCAGCACCATCACCTGTCCCTTCACCATCTCTCTGTACAGTCACAGCAGTGAGGTGAGCTCAGGTGCCGTGTGACACCAAGCCTTGGTGCTGCGTGTGTAGGAATAGGTGGTCTGTGGGGAAATTTCATGGGTCCCCAGAAGATGTGAAGTGGCTCATGCTCTGCCTGCTTTCCTGTTAGCCCCACCACGTGCAGTGACTGTCTCGGAAAAAGGTCCTTTTGCCAAAGTTAATTGTGAACAATTACTCAGAAGAGCTGGATAAGCTGCAGTTCTGCAATGTGACATCTGCCCTGTTGCTGCTCTAGGGCCCTTGGCCTGTCAGGGCTGGATGGAGGTTTGTCGAGGGGAAGGAGGAGATGGTTTTGTGTTTGAAGACATGATGGAAACTTCTGCATCCCTTTTTGGCATGACAGTTTTGGAGGGGAAGAGGGAAAGCAGCTGTGTTGCATTCCTAGTGAACACCCTGAGACCTCATTTCCAGAAGCACCTTTCCTGGACCAGAAGCGGAGCTGCCCATCAACACGGGTGATGCTGATCTTCTCTGTAGGAAAATGGGCTCTGGGGTGGCCCTACTGTGTGTGAGGGGAGGAAGAAGAGCAGAGTTTGGGGGAAACTCTCACAGAGCACCAACATCTGAGTGTTCAGAGTCAAAGAGAAATGAGTTCATGCTTCTCTGTTTCTAGGAGAGATACTTCCCAATGCCTTGCCTCTACTAAGAGCAGAGAGAGATTCCTGCTGCCTGGGAACATCAACAAGTGTCACCCAGCTCTGGGGCAAGCCAGGCCTAATTCCCAGCACATCCAGGCAGACGTTGCCACCACCCAGCCTCTTCCATCCACAGTTTTCTCAATGGGCTTGTGAAAGGGAGCTGGAAGGAACACTAGTCTGAACACAGCTGAGAAGGGGCCATGGGGTCTTCCTGTCCCAGGTGTGTGCTGCTGCACAAAAATTAGAATTGATTGCACCAACTCAGTCACCCAAAGGTGTCATTGCAATGATGCTTTCTTGGAAGTGAAGGTGCTATTTTGGTGCATGGTATGGATGGAAATTGTCAACAAGGGCTGCAAACTTTGGGCAGTAAATGTGGCTCCAGCCCCAGGGCCTCATCAGTGACCTGTCTTGTCTTCTCCAGTGGTGACTTTTCCTTCCACTCCAGTCTATCAGGTTGCAAGACAAAAGCTGAAATATAGCAAAGGGAAGACATGCAATGATTGTTCAGACTGAAAGTTCATCCTGTCTCCTGAAAAACTTGCCTATCTGGTCTTTTTAAATGTCCCTCAATACATGTGTTTTGGGGGTGAAAAAGTCTGAGCTGCCTCATTTCAGGCTTATCCTTGGATCTGCAGGATGTTGAATTGCAGACATGTGACTGGGAACTGTGCTGCACAGAAAAATGTGGAAACTCTGGAATGTCTTTAGGGAGGCTGCTTACTTGGGAGACATCATTAGCTTTGAGTTGTTTGCTTGTCCCCAGGAGTGGGTGGAACAAGGTGAGAAAATATGTGGGGAAATAAAAGAGCCAAGAAAAGGGAAAGGCGGGTTTTAGAAGGCAAGTGAGTATCTTGGGTTGGAAAATCGAGACAGATTTGGGGAGTGTGGTGTAGAATTTTAAGTAGCACAGTGGGTACAAGCAAAACCAAATGAAAATACCAGTGTGCTAGAGCTCCAGAAAAAGTTTGCTATAACACTGGGCAAATACTGGTTTAAAAAGGAGGCAGAAACCAATAAAATCAAGGGACCATTTATGCAGGCAGGAAACCAAATCATTAGGGTTTTTGCCTTTTTTTTTTTTTTTTTCCCTACAAGAAAATGCAACTAAAAGAAGGTCTGAAAAGTTATGCTTTTTCAGGGGCACAGACAGAAATATAATACTATATGAGCTGTTTCCTTTCATGTGAAAGGCTCTTATTTCCCAGAACTCAAATGTATGGGTTTCCTTGAGTTCAGCATATGGGTTGAAGAATGCAGACATGGGTCACCACAACTCCCAAACCCAAAAGTAGCTCTAAACACCTGATCAGGTGGCATTCATGTGCCACTCACTCTGTGTGGAGACAATATTGCATTCAGCATGTTAAGAAGTTTTTTTTAAATCTTTCTCATTTCCTCCCTCCTCAGGAAGTATCTGCATCTTTTCCTGGTCTGGCCAGGGTTCAGCTGAACCACTACAGCCATGGCTCATACCCAGTGTTTTTTACAGCTCTAGGTGTTCTCTGGTTATAAGTCAATGATGAGGATAAGCAAGGGGAATAAATGAGGTCCTGGCTGTGATATCATGCTGTGATGGCTCCTCTGACAGCTGGAAAGCTCTGGGCATCAACAAGGTTGGCTTCTTTGCTATGGGACTCACAGGCACAGGCATATCTTGGCACAACCCAAAAGGCTTTTTTTCCATTCACGTGCAGTGGCTTTCTGATGGATGGTGGGGTCATGGAGCCTTGTCACAACGCTGCTGTCTCCAAATGAGCACCAAAAATAGAAAAAGAGAATTTTCCTCTCTCAGCACTGCTTTCCAGGAGTGGACAGACTTGCTTAGCTCTAAGGTACCTTCTCCACTCCTGCACCAATGTGTCTCTTGTGTCAGTACCCATTTTATATTTAAGCAGGTGCTAAGTCCTAAAAATTCTTTTCCCTTTGCCCCTCTCCTTGCAAGCAGGGATATTGAGATTCAAGCCTGAGAAACTAGGTGTTTTCAAAACATCTCTTCTGGCTGGCAGTGTCATAAATGACACAGGCAGAGACGTCAGTCACTGCTCTGAGAGGAATGAAGGAGCATTCCATCTCTCCTGTGCCTCTTATTCCTTTCCAGTACACCACTGAGCCATGAAACAGCTCCCTGAGAGAAGTGATTGGACTCCTATTGCTTGAAACTTTGAAAAACTGAACTGAGGAAAGAGAGAAGAGACCAAAGAGAAGGAAGGACAAAATATTCCAGCTTTCTTCAAGGGTTAAGTGAGCTGGTAGGTTGGTTTCATCTTGATGCCTGCAGTTTCTCACAGACCCAATCTGACAGCTGTTTTCAAACTAAAGGAATGACCATTAGTTCCTTCTCCCTTCTGCTAGTCCCACAATTTTAGCATCTCTCCAAGGAGAAAGGAGGCACAAAAAAATCTAGCCATCGCTTCTTCACACCGTCAGGAGTCCTCCACAGGAACTGATCTGCTGCCCAGCACAAGCGACTGATCCCACAGCTGAAAACTGGAACAGTTGTTCTGAGGGGGAGTTTAACTGCTGAACTACCGGCTGCTTAGGACAAGGTCCCAGCAGGGAAGGACTGAAATACCTCTAAAGAAAATCATAGCTCTGGGAGGTCCAAATGTCTTCTTGCATGCTTTCTCTTGCTCTCTGCTGGCTTCCAGCCTCCCAGTCTTTGCTGCTAGATACTCAGATAGCTGAGTTTCTTCATTCACTCCCTTGACAGAGCACAGAGAGCTGGTGGAGGTGTTTGATTTCAGTGCGGTAGGTGAGATAAGATTTCTTCGCCCATGCCCTCTTCTTTTTCTCCCTGCACTGCTCCTGTCCTTGCAGTTCTCAGGACTTGACTAGGAGAGTTTTTAAATGAAGTGAAAGTCTTAATGTGAGGTGAATCCCAAGACCACAAACAGTTTGGACTTCAAACAGTGAGAAAATTGGCGCCGGATGATTCCGCACACAAAGCAGAAAACTTTCATTTCCTGCAGGCAGGATGGAATTGACTGTTATATTAAGACTTCAGAAGGAGCACTGCCCTGGAGTAATTTCACTGCTGTCAGGCAGTGTTGACATCTAGATTAACCTCTGTGCAGTGAATTTTACAGCAAAGCTCATTGTAATGCATGTGGGGTATCTCCTGTAAATCCCAGCTGAAGCCCACAGTGTCCCACCCTTCTGCACAGGAGGAAGGGTCGGGGAGGAGCCACTATCATTTTTGACCCCAGCAAAGCATGACTCTAACCTCATCCAGGCCAGTTCTGCTGAAACTGATTTTCTACCATGCTAAAGTGACAGTATCTCCAGCCTGAATTTTTTTATTTTTTTTTTTAATTCCCCAAAGAGGTTTACATCACAAGGCTAAAATTTTTGCCAGTGACAAACAGCTCCCTTCAAGTATCCACCCAGCAACACAGTCCTAATTAAAAGGCACTAGTTAACCGGTGGCAATTAGCTGCTTGCACTGATTAACACCAAGACATGTAATCCCCACACACAATGCTCTGATCAGATGTGATCTAGGACTAAATGGCAGACAAACTCCCAGCTGATGTGAGATAGTGGCATTTCAATCCTATCCACCCGCCCACAGGCACGCTATCAGCACTGTTTACCAAACCAAAACTGCATGGATTAAAGAAGTTCACACATTTAACTCAGTGCAAGACAGAGGACATCCCAAAAGAAGTCCCTTGGCTCCTGAACTGAAAGCTCCTGTTGACAAGTTGGAAGCATAGACCAGACCTCAAGTCCTTTTGTCTTTTGTGTAAGAGTAGGGGGAGCAGTGAAATATCCCAGGCAGGAGCAGAACAGCTTCTTCACTTTTGTTTGAGTAGAGAAAATCCTCTCTGTGGTTATTAAGATGCATCTCTGAGATACACTTTGTGAAAAAAACACTAGAATCTAAAAAAAAAAAATTGAAGAGGAAGGGTAAGTTTCTTTCTTTGTGTGTTTTTGTCACACCTTCTTATTCTCACACATTTTCATACTGTCATTGCTCTGCAGGCATCTGTAGGAGGTTCTAGACAAGAGACAGGCCATCAGGTATCGAACAGATCAGCCATTAAGGGAAAAATCTCAACAGGACTTCTAGAAACCTCTCTCAGAGCCCACCCATCCTCTCACCCACAGCTTTTCATAGTAGGTTTTGGACAGCCTGTGAAGAGGGGACATGTCTGTAGTTTCCTTTAATCTTCAGAAGGAATGGTGGCATTTCTGCAATCTGACCCAACAGGAAGATTCCTTCAAACTAACATTTATTACCCCCAGTCATAATACAGCTGAAAAGGCTATCCAAGGTTATAGAAAAGGTCAGGCTCTTACTTTGGACTGGAATTTGCTTTGGAAGAAATTTGATGGACCAATTTAACCACCACAGCACATCAAAACCTGGTGGCTTCATTTAAAAAGTAATCAGTATTGTATTTCGCTTTAGACATCCGTGCATTAGTGTTCTGCAAATATGATTTCCTCTTTGTTTGCATTATTGATGCCATAAAATGTCAGACACATTAAAGAAAAAAAAAAAAAAGAGGCCAACCTTTGGGGTTTGGAATGATTCTGGCTGAATTGCAGTTGGGTTACTTTTCTTTTTATTTCCCATGGTAGCGATGCACTGTTACTCATTCTGCTATTGCTTTACAAAGAGTTCTCTGTAAGTGTATTTATTCAGCCAACGATATTTCAGGAAACACATAACCTTGATATTTTTTACTGCATGTGGCAGTGCTCTGTGTGTGTGTGTGTTGGGGAGAGGAAGGGAGGTGGAGCTTTTTACAAGAGCCCTCCCATGTCTAGTAGTGTGTTGGCTTTGTGTAATGCCAAGTGCCTCCCTCCTGCTCAGGTGGCTGGTTTGATTTAACCTCAAGAACTGACTTTTGTTATCGGAATTTGAGGTCTTCTGGTTTTGCACTGCGCAGAGTCTGTCATCTGCTTTCACCATTCAGCAGCCATCTGCTATCCACAGAGGTTCCTAGATGTCTATGCCACAGAGATTACACAGCACTCAAGTCTCAGGCATGTGATAGAGGAGTTTTAGCACATTTTGATCCTGGATCAGCAGCAAGTTCACTGATTTAGCTTGGTTCCCACCCAAGGTCTGACTGCAGTTCCTGAGACAGATAGTATATCAGCTGCTCAGTGCATTTTCTCACAGACCAGTAAGAGCACAGGCCTTGGTGGCTGTATGCTCTCTGCCTCACCTCTCTATAATGGGTGCAGATTCATTTTTCAGTGTTCCTGTGAACTTTTTGCGAGAATATTCTTCCTCTTAAAAATCTAAAAAAATCTCAAGAATTTTGTCTTCTTGAAAGTAAAAGTGAAAAAATAAGAAGGAAATATCTCCCTTATGTAGGGATTTTCATCAGTGGTAAAATTTCTTTTCATCAGCTCTTCCTTCCAGTGACATCAAGACTTGGGTGAAGAGGAAGAAGAATACAGTGGAGCAGTCTTAAGGAAGAGGTTCAACCAGGACCTAGACTGCAAAGTCATCTGTTCACATACTAGGCCCTTGACAGCTTCATAGAGAAAGAATCCCCACCTTTCTGTGAGCAGATTCCTGCCCAGTTGTCTTGTTCCTACTCCAGTTATGAACAATAACTTTCAAATGGCCTTCAGATCTCTTCATCTTCACAGATCCCTCTCAGGGTTATCCAAAAAGACCAAAGAAGTGACGACAGGGGCTGAATGGGTGTGTAATTTGGTGTGTTTCTCTCACTTTTTCACCAGGAGCAAAGACAGTGAAAGTGACAGAACAGAAAAATTATTTTTCCCAACAGGAGAGATCCATTTTCTTTTTAAACTCTGATATTTAAGATGCCGTACAGCAGTACCTATAAATATGCCTTGAATTGTTGAAGAGCACAAGGAGTATATTTGATTTTGTTTTTATGTCTGTAATTTCTCTCACCAAGAATTCAACTGTTACTCAGCTCCCAGCAGGTTGTTCTGACTGCTGGAGAGATGTTTGGGATTGATTCCGGCTGTGACCTGTTCGAGTCCAGCCTCATTCCTATGTAGCTAGATTGAAACAATAGCAATCAGCAAGAGACTGAATTGTTGTTCCTGTGTAACTAAACCTTCTTGTGCAACACCAAGCTAAACCTTGAAGGCATTGAACAACCACAACTTTGAGATCAGTAAAGGCTGTAGGTACTGAGAGGCACTGAAGGTCACTATGATGTTGGGAACAGAACGGCAGGAGAGAGAAAGAGAAATGCTACAAGGAAAAAAGCAACAAACATTACATCAGAAAAGACAGTGGTTGGTTTGTAAAACAAGAAAATCCACTGCTGTACATGAGAAAAGAATCAGAATATTCACCCTGGCAACCAGGAACATTGGCCATCAGGACAAGAGCAGCTCTGTATCCTACAAACCTCCTCTCACTTTTAATTTCCTATTTGTCTTTCACTTGCTAATACAGAACAAATCCTGGCTTATGGCCTTCCTGAAAACTGAAATTAAGAGGCAGATTTGGGAGAGGAAGAGAGAGGCCAGATCCTGCTGGATGATCAACAGCTTTATAGCCCAGCACCTTTCAGTAGCAAGTGCCTGGTGTGTCCTATTTGGTGCAAGTAGTGTTCACATTAAGTGTAATTATAAAAATTCTCTTCCTAAGAAGAATAATAAAAAATCTCTCGGTAAGATGGAGATTTTAGGAGCAGGACAGACGTCAGTAGCCGCGTCCCTGCGGATCAGCACCGCGGACAGCGGCACCTCCCGCGCCTCTCCCCCCTCCCAGCTTTTCGGGCGCCGCTGGAGGAGGAACTCCGCTTTAAAAGAAGGAAATCTACTCTCAAAGGAAGAATTCAGCTTTTGAAGGAATCCTGGCCACACTGGTCAGGGCACTGCTGTCTCACCCTTTGTTCTTTTCTCCCATCCTTTTTTCTAGTGTTAAATTATTATCCTGTATCTCTCTTGTTTTCAAGTGATGGAGGAAGGATAGTTTAAACCACAAAACAATAATTCTAATTCTAGGGATAGGATCATTCTCCCTTCAGATTTAAACTCTCTGCCTCACTTCTTCCTGGACTGGTGTTCCACTTATGAAGGCTCCATCTCTAATTTGTGTTGTGAAAGGTTCCTATCTTCTCATCCATTGGGACAGTTTGACAAACGGAGAGCTACTATACTGATAGCCCTTCAGAAACAGAGTATTTATGTTATTGGAAACATCATGTGATTCAGCTTTGGCCATCAATTACATTTAGGGTAAATGTTGGTAAAGGGTAAACAGAAAAATTTTTTGAAAAATTGCATGTAAGGGACATATAAATGACACTCTGGTCCCTGAAAGTTTTTTCACATCAAGCCACAGAAAAAAACACATTACTGTGGCTTTTGTGTAGTGGAGAGTTGTCAGAATCATAGAATCATAGAATGGTTTGGGTTGGAAAGACCTTAAAGATCACCTAGTTCTAACCCCCCTGCCATGGGCAGGAACATGTTCCACCTGACCAGGTTGCTCCAACTTGGCCTTGAAGAGTCAGACAAAGATGAAGAGCCGTGCAGGGAAGAGCAGGCATCCAGAGTCAAGGCTCCAAATGGAGAAGAACTTATATGCCACATAGCAAAAATTACAGGTATTTCAGTACTCAGCTTGTTTCACCTGCATACTTGGGATTTCATCCGGTGTTTTCCTGGATCATACTAAGGAAAATATACCCTAAAATTAAGATTGAACATCTCCTGGACCTATTTGTCGTGGTGAGAAGTTGTTGGGCGGGAGCATGCAGGCTCATTACATCCCTGAAAAATTTAGTGTGAGGAAGAACAGCCAGAAAAGTGAGCCAGAGAGTTGGGCTATTCCCCCCACTCAACATATGCTGCTTTCTAGGAGCAGTTTCCTCTGTATCCCACCTCCCACGTACTCCCCAGCTGTGACTGGCAGTTTCTACAATGGGACATGTGGATGGACACTCAGAGACAGGACTGGGAAGTGCCTGAGACACAAGGCCTCAAAACTTGTAAGTAACAATACTGAAAATGAGGAATTAATGCCAGACTTCTGATGCCTAGGGCCATCTGGAAGTCAGAAAGGATGAGCTTGCAGGGGGTGGCAAAGATTATTTGATGAGGGGCTTAGAGAACAAATGGTGCTAAGAGGAGGGAGAAAAGAAGCCCAGTGGGATGCAGAGAAAGGAAGGAAACGGACAAGGACTTGATTCCTAGTGAAGGGTCAGTGATCGTGGGGGTAGTGAAAGCCAGATGTGAACTGTGGTGAAGCAGAGGACAGCCCTGGTTGGGGAAGAACTATGGTGGTGAGGAAGGAGTCACTATGAAATGAAGTGTGCTCATCTAAATGAGTCCTGAAAGTTCCTCCAAACCCTCAGCCCTGCTGGGCTTCTCCTAGGCCCAAATTCTCTGCTTCAGACCCCGGAAATGCCATAATTTTAACCACATTTATTTTGCTCTCTGACAGCTCTGGTTACAGTACAAGCAGGCTAGATTGTTTTAGCTCTTCTCCCTCCCCCTGCTCGGCCCCTGCAACCAGCCAATTCCTTGTATGAAGGAAAATTGGCTTTCTTTTCTTTTCTTTTTCTTTTTTTTTTTTTTTCCCAAAAGTGTCCATTACATTTTCAGCTAAACTGAAAGGCAATTTTTTGCATGAGAGCTTTGCATAGATAGGCTTAAAGCAGAACAAAAATTAATAAATAACTGTACTAAATTACCTCCCCCTCCCCCACCTTGCCTTAATGAAGTGCTGTTTTACATAAGCTATTTCAATAGAAAGGAAGTATTTTTGGGGCAGGCAAATGATCAACAATATTTAGCTTTCCACAAGTGTTGCAGCTCCCTCCAACTTTTCTGGGTCAGGCAAGGAGACAAAGTTTTTCCAGGTAAAGATTAAGGGTACAAAAACCGTGCACCTGCCTCTGGTAATTTCTTCAAGACACGTGTGTTGAAGCAGTATCGTCCATCAGCGGCTTGTGTGATGGCATTGGCAGAAAAATCACTCTGATTTCCTGTGCTGGCACTCCTGCCTCAAGAAGAAACATGCAGCTTCCAGAAATCTGCAAGGGTAGACTTAATTTCCAGGAAACTACTCCTCCCCCCAGCTGTACTGCCCCTCAGCGCTGCAGTCAGGCTTGGCCCCCACAAGGTGCTGCTTCACAGCTCACTCTGGCAGGCGAGCTGGTCCTGAGAGGAGGATGGGGCTACATCTCAGAGGAAAGACATTTTGATGACATTTTTGTTGTTACTATTATTTAAAACAGCTTATTTTAATCTCAGTTAATGTCATGGGAAGTCTGCATGAGCAGAAAACAAATCCTCTGGTGATGTGATGTTTGCTGAATTGATTTTTTTTTTTTTTTTGGCAGACTTCTTTTTACACTATACACCAATCCACATTTTCTTAGTTTGGGGTTTCTTTTGGATCTTTTGAATCCTATTTGCCACTTTGCAACTGAATTGATGGTTCTCAACCTTTTCCATCCTGCAGTCTCCCCTTCTCCAAATCCAAATTCACCATTTTCCCCTGCTGGGAACAGGCCAGGTTACCAGGAGAACCTGGTGATAACAAGGGGGTCGTGATCTCTGCCTGCCCACTCCACCTCCACTGGCTCCAACTCAGAGGGTAAGGAACTCTGATCTGAGTATTGGCCAAGGTAGGGTCCCTGCTTCTCCCCTACCTGCCACATCATGTGCATCGAGCACGCTGCTACCCTGGAAGGGGATGACTGATACAGTGTTAGTCAGACTTACAGGAAGACTTTTTAAATTAAGGATTTGCAGTGAGGTCAAGGGACCTGTTAAAGTGCTGAGGTATTTACCCTCCCCACACCTTCCCTTCTTTCCTACCCTGCTTTGTCCTGTCCTCTCTCCCCAGCCTTGAAATGAAACAGAAAATTATTTTTTTAAAACTGTGTCGATAATTTATGTTTAGTATAAAGGATGATTTAATGGCATCACCAAAGGTCATTTTTTTCATCTCCTTGTTACTGCCCCAGCCCCCGAGGCTGTGCATCCCCTCTTTCCCATCTCTCTCTGCTGCCCTCCCTTTCATTCACCTCACACACCCCCGGCCACCACCCCACCACAGCGTTCCACACACCACACACCTGCTTCAGGTTCAGCCAACGACCGTTGGAGAACAGAGATTTCAAACCCAAACCTCCACCCCAGACCACCACAAACTGGAACCATTTCCACCTTGAAAATAGTCAGTTGCTGCAAATGACAGGCAGACTCATTTCTTGAATTAAGTAAGGTTTTTTTTAAAGCCTTTTATACCTATTTACGTGTGCGCGTGCGTGCACCGTGTGGACACAGTGGTATCTGTGTGCACAGATGCACACGAATCTCTCTCTCAAATATAAATATATTGTATGTTAGAGCTGTAAATATTCCTTGGTCATGTGTCTATGTCTTCTTCAAAGTATCATATCCTCAGTGTTATGTTAACAATTCCATTTATTGATTGATGAAACTGTGTGTAGACCTGTACCCTCCTGACATAGTTTATGTAGCTCTCTCTTCTCAAATAAAGTACAAAACTACCACTAGCAGGTCCTCCTCTCCCTTTTGTTGTTCGCTGAATAATCAGCTTTAATTCATAGAAGTCTGACACAAAATTTATGCAATTTTCAGTTATCACAACAATGCAGAAACCTTCACATGATGTTTTAGGAATTGTGTTTTGGTGGTTAGGTCAGCACGTGTAACAGTTGTTAACAAAAGTAATAATCTGTAGGCAAAATGTTGTCCCAGCTGCAGTAAATGAGGGTCTCACTACTGACCTGATTCATTCTTCCCACCTACCTCCAGGTACAGCCTACACCAACCACAGCTCACTTCATTCTAGTAGAGATAACAGAAGTCCATCCTCTTCCTCCTCTCTGTCAGTGGGTCTCTGCATCATTACATCAAGCAACGCTCCCACAGCTCAGAAATTTCCCTTTGGCTTAAAAGGATCCAGTCACTTCTCTGTTGTGTTGTTGTTTTTTTGTTGCTTGGATTGCTCAGCACCTAAACTCTACTCCCCTGAGTAAATCTTGAGGCTGGGAACAACACTCAGAATTATGGCAAAATCCACTGCTGCCTCTTCCTTCCCCTTGGCTCCTCAGACTGCCTTCATGCTGAAATCACAGGAATCAGAGAATATTTACCATTGCAAGCTGAAAAAAAAAAAAACAACAAACCTATGCACAGATACACTTACTGGGTAAAACCATAAAGATGATTTGTGAAGTAACACTTAATTTACTGCAACTGACACCAGACTCCAGCTGCCAGAAATTTGACTGACAATTTCTATTTATTTATATCCTGCTATACAATATCTGCCTTAATGTTGTAAATTTTTCTGATTGGAATTTCACAGTGTCTGCCTGGATATTTATTGATCATAAAATAATCTGCACAGCCCGTTAAAGTCAAGGCAGTGAGAATGGATGCCAGAGAAATCACTGAACAGGATCTGGGTACCAGTGCCCAGGTAACAGAAGATGCTCAGATGCTATTTTTACAGCATTATGTATCACTGAGAGCCAGTCTTTTGAACTGCCTTTGTGCTGTTTCCCGAAAGTCTCTTCTGAAATGCTTCCAGGAGCCTGGTGTTGAGTTCCTACCAGCAACTCCATATGGACCCTGCAACATGCCTCATTTGCAGCTCCTCACCGTTGAGAAATCCCACCTTTACAATGAAATCTGATGTTTTCACAACTGTTCTTTAAGACAACCCACGAGGGAAATGTTTGGCTCTTCCTGCAGCAGTAAGACCACATTTTTTTCTACTATTATTTTTGGCAGGCAAAGACAGAAGCATACAATTTCTGCCCACAAGGGAAAAATTGTGAAACTTGGTCCCAACTGGGAGTTCCCATATTGCCTGGTGAACAAACTCTCTAATTTCATTCACAGCTTCAGCCATGCAGCTTTCCAGTATCTCCAATGGATTTTGCCTCTTGAGTTTGGTCTTTGTTTGTTTGTTTGTTTTGTTTGGGTTTTTTTCCCTAAGGGATACCTTTTATCCCTTGTGGAAGTTAGAGATGTGTGCTCTCCTCACAGGGGTGAACACAAAAACATACTTTGGTCATAGCCAAATCCACCCTTTCTCCCAGAAATCTACACATCCTATCCCCAATCCAGCACACACCCACCTTCTCACCAACAGTTTCCCAGTGTGACACCCCTCCCTACCCTGTGTACAGAGAAGCATCCCCTACTCCAACCCACCATTCTTCTGCCTACTCTCGCTCTTGGTAACAGGAGCTCGCTCTTCTCCCTGTAAATGCTGCATTAGCTGTTCATTCCTACTGCTTTCTGAGCTCATAAACCAGGCTTCATCCTCACTACTCATCAAACACGACCCCTTTCCTTTCTCTACATCAGAATAATAAACCAGCAGTGGATGATTTGCCACATTAGCTCTGGCCAGGCACTCTGATGGACAAGGTTCCTTTTTATTATTAATTTAAGGCGTTTATGTGATAAATACCTTCTGAAATTAATTAAAAATACAATAAATTAAAAAAAAGTCACAGACTGACCAACTTGCCTAGGAGTCACCTTGATCTGTCCCCTCCTGATACCTGTTGCAGTTTGCCTTTGCCTATCCAGGATAAGGATTACAGGAGCTTACAGCAGCTGGTGGGGCATCTCATGGGCTGGGAACAAAACCACACAAAAGTAAAGAGCAGCTGAGGCTGCCTGTCACCAGCCTGACAGGCTGCAGGCACATGCCCTGGACCAGACAGCATCCCTTGTGGGAAGGTGGGTGATAGAAGGACTGGATCCGCTCAGGGCTCCCTGTAACCTTTTCGAACTCCATAAAACCCTTCACAGATTACCCTTTAGAAAGGCAAGCAGACCCCTGCATGCCCTCTGGGTAGAGGGAAGGGAGAGGTCCTGGCCTTCCCCTGGGTTGCAGAGAGAGCCAGACAAAAGGTTAATGGCACGATGTAATCACAAGGTAAAAGCACAGGGCAGAGCAGGGGAAATTATTTCCTCTTCAATTGTGGCTTTTGTTATTCCCAGAGAAAAGCAGCAGGTATTCAGGAGCTTCTCATTAGCCAGCATGATTTCCATTAGGCTTTCTATTAACATTTTGTGGCTGTAATAAACACCTACATAATTAACAGAAAAAAAGAGTCCTTTCCAGGATAACAGAAGTGGCCAGAACAAGCTGGGAATAGCACAAGCAGGTTGGTTCCTGCCTGGAACTTTCTGCTTACAAGGGAATTGCTCTTTTCATTTTCGTGGGACAATTCTCTTGCAAATAATTAAGTCTCAATGCTTCTGTCCTTCTGCCTTAGTCTATGAGGACATCTAGCTCTACTTTGCATCTGGAAAAAAAATGAGTCAAAGCAGGGTAGAAATTGTCCCTTCAAGTTCCCCCAGGAGATTCAGGATACTTCTGTTTTTCCCAGTCCTCTGCTATAGCCCTGAGGAGCATTTTCCTGCTGAAAATTGACAGGGAAAAAAATCTCTTAGGAACACATGCATGATCCCAGCTGGTAGACAAGCCCCAGGAGGTCATAAAATGTCCCCATGGAAGGTAGATGGCAGTTACTATAATCTGGGCTGGTTTATAACCATGAAGCACACCAGCACATCAGGTCCACAGAGGACTGATGAGTGATGAGCAAGATAGACACAGAGATAAAACACAACCTTCCCAATGTCTCAGTCTTTCTATGCCTTCTCCATCCTGCTAAGGGCTTGAACAACATTTCTGAGTATGGTGCTTGCAGGAAAGCTCAAAGGTAGCTTTGGCTCCTCCCCAGTCCTTGCCCTCCTCCCCACCAATTGCAAAAGGTGCCACTGCCACTGCCTGTGCACAGGAGATTGAGGACATGTCATTTGGACAGGGCTGAGTGTCCCCCCCCTCCTCATTTCAGGCTCCTGCTGCTAAGAATATATGTGCCCTTTATCATAGCTCTAAAATAGAGAGAGACACTTTGGAATTCAATTAGTCAAACAGTTGCCACAGCAACAAAAACATATAAACTTAAATGATTTATACTCACAGACACCACTTCAAATAGGAATAAATTTAATACAGCAGCTGGGAATGAAATGCATTGTACAATAAGAAAATTGTATTTTTCTCTCCCTGATGATAGGCCTCAAGGTCTTAATGCAATATAGATGAAAAAAGATATTTGGGCAGAAGGAAGCGGAATATGTTGTGCTGTATGTACAATGCCTGCTTGGAGAGTACAGCACATAATGAGCATGTACATCTAATCACAGAGCTGTGATGCTGTTTGCAGACAGCCACAGATCAAAGATTGCAGCGACCAAGCTGACTGGTTGCTTTCACTTTCTTTCTTCAGCTCTCCTCCATTTCATGAAACCTTTCCTATTGGCCCCTACCCAGGAAAAAATCAAATCTACCCTCATGGCAGCTTCTCCACTACAGAGCCAGGTCCCCACCTGTTAAAGTGAGATTGTGGGTTTTTTCTAGAAGAAAAAAAAAATTAATTCAAACATAGTTTTGAGAATTGAAGAAGAAATTAATTCCGAGAAATGTGCAGGAATTTTTTTCCTCTGCAATAACATTGCAGAAGCTTGCAAGAAAATCTAGAATAGTCATGCCAAGTGACAGTCATCTGCAGTACTTTTGCCCATGAAGTCTGAATATGCAGTGAATGCCACACTCCCTACTGCTCTCCTGTGACTTTGAGATTCCCTAGAGAGAACTACAGGTCCATGGCATGTAAGATCAGCAGAAGATGATGTGTGTACAGACCTCTGGCATTAGCACCACTTTGGTGCGTCGTTAGTCCAGGACATACAAATATATATTTTTCCAACCAGAAATGGTTTCATGAATGGAAATTATGTAGGGGCTTAGGGGAGCCTTATGATTAGTTTCCAGTAAACAGGAATTGTCCAGAAGTTGTGGAGAAACTGCCTCCTTCCTTTCTAAAGGCACATCAGCTGGTTTAACCTGGAACTGTGGAAAACTGTGTGCTTGCGGTTCATCTGCCTCTTTGTGGAGGTGCCAAAGCCAGCTGCCTTGGCAGTGCTTGGACCAGAAGCAGCCAAGCAGTGCCTGGAGTGCAAAAGAAAGTGGAGATCCAACCACTGGCTCTTCATTTTTCCCTAAATGGAAGTTATTCTGTCATCCTAGGAGATATTTTGTGAGTCGTCACCTGCCTCCAGAAAGCCTGATCAACGTGGCCAACCACTACTGTCATGGGGAGTTGGGATTGCTGACACCCTTGGAAGGCTAATACAATGTTATGAGCAATTCTATGAGATCTCTCATCTGACCTGCTGAACTACACAGCATTTATGGTGGGAATAAGGACTTTATTTCCTGTCCAGATCATGCTCATAACACATTCTTCTGTACTTCACAAGAACTTAAACAGGACGAATCTCACGTACTTTGGGGCCCTTCGTGCAAAGGCAACTTCTCTGGCTTAGACCATGTTTTGAGTAAACACTATCTAAGTACAAGAGGGAAAAGACAGAAAAGTACCTTTGAGAGAAACCCAATACTTTAATCTAAGTATAAACAAACAAAACCACAGGCCACAGCTCTAACAGAAGT